TTGAAGGGATCCAGGACATATGGGGAGGTAGGTAGAGGCACAGAGGGACTGGTAAGCTGGGTGAATAGAGGAAAGGCAAACAATAGCAGGTCCCAGTAAGGCCTTAAAAGTTTTCTTTTTTAAAACAAATTTGTATTGGAGTAGAGTTGATTTACAATGTTGTGTTACTTTCAGGTGTACAGCAAAGTGAATCAGTTATACATATATATCCTCTCTTTTTTAAGATTCTTTTCCCATATAGGCCATTACAGAGTATTGAGTAGAGTTCCCTGTGCTCTACAGTAGGTCCTTATTAGTTATCTATTTTATATACAGTAGTGTGTACCTGTCAATCCCATCTCCCAATTTATCCCTCCCCCTCTTCTCCCCCGGTAACCATAAGTTTGTTTTCTACATCTGTGACTCTATTGCTGTTTTGTAAATAAGTTCATTTGTACCATTTTCTTTTAGATTTCACATATAAGCGATATCATAAGATATTTGTCTTTGTCTGACTTACTTCACTCAGTATAACAATTTCTAGGTCCATCCATCTTGCTGCAAATAGCATTATTTTGTTCTTTTTTATGTTTCTGGGGAATAATGAGGTCGTGATTGTGGAAGGAAAAGTACTGGGATGTGGTCCACTTTATGACCTTACTAGTGTATCTCATATATATGAGAGGTCCAGACGATAATTGATACAACTATGAAAATTTCCAAAAATGAAGATGCAATCAGCATACGTGGGAAAAGGGCGTAAGTAGGGTTGGGGAGGACATATTTTAGGTAGGAACCTGGCCTCACTGATAAAGCACACCATAACACCTGTATCACTCAGTTCCAAGGCTGACCAGGAGAAGGATTGTTAACAACTTGCCCCCAGTCCATAGATTATTCTGGCAGTGGGAAAAGTCCAGCTTCCAGTGAATTTTTTTTAGCATTTCCAAAACCAATTCACTAAGTTTTCATAATTACTTCCTTTGAGCAGGGATAATGACCTAGGTTCAGCTATTTCATTTCAAACTAGAATTTCATTTTAAAAGAGTTTTTGCTTTTTGGGGAAAAAAAATTGTACCTAAGAAAAATTGGTCAGCTGTGTGCTCTGCTGGAATCCTGCTGGAGAGATTATCACAACAAGCTGGTGGCCTGGCAGGGGCTGAAACAAATAATTTTGTAAAACTGAAATTAGTCCATCACAGTTTATAGTTTTTCATTTAATTTTAAAATGGAAGTGGCTATTTTTAAAAGAAGGAAAGTGAGTCTCAATTGCCCTACTAATCCAATGAAATATATCCAAGAGGGTGAAAGCAGACAACTGAGCTCCATGTGGGAGATCCTTTCCAAAGCCTGCTTCTACGCCTCTCTTCTGTTCTCATTAAAACAAGTCCCAAAGATCAAATGAAGCTGGGACCCAAGCTGAAGGCAAGGGTACACGTTGTTTACTTCATCGCTGCCAGCAGCCCTCTCACCACCAGGCTGGGATTCAGGCACACAGGTCAGAAGAAGAAGAATCCTGCTTTCACCCTCCCAGGTCTCCATCAGGAACCACCAGGGAGCAGCAGATGACTAAGTCACTCACCTGGCTACCTCCAGTTAGATACTTGCTTGAAAATGAATGGGAAAGCTCCTAAGAAGCAGGAGAGAAGAAATAATAATGGCACCAATAATTCACATTAGTGTGGTTTTATGATTCACCAAACCACGTACATGCCTGCATTTGATTTTGCCCTTTGGTGAGCAGGGCACACATCTTTGGTCCCGTTGTGCAGAATAGCAATCCCCAAACCCAGAAATGTTAAAACAGAAATTTGTTCCCAATCATACACCTTGTTCAGAACAAAAGCTTTGAAGGCATTTTCCCTGGTTTAAATTCTGGCTTTATTACTTACGAGCTGTGTGACCTTGGGAAGCTATTGAACCTCTCTTTGACCTCATTTTCTCATCTGTAAAATGGAGCTAAGGGGCTTCCCTGGTGGCGCAGTGGTTGAGGGTCCGCCTGCCGATGCAGGGGACACGGGTTCGTGCCCCGGTCCGGGAAGATCCCACATGCCGCGGAGCGGCTGGGCCGGTGAGCCATGGCCGCTGAGCCTGCGCGTCCGGAGCCTGTGCTCCGCAACGGGAGAGGCCACAGCAGTGAGAGGCCCGCGTACCGCAAAACAAAAACAAAAACAAAAAACTCTCTGAAAAAAGTATTATTTTGTCCATTGTACAAACGGGTGAAATAAGGCCCAAGGTCAAGGACCTCCCAAGGTCCCTCAGCTCATGAGTGGCAAAGCCAGGTCTGACTTATACTAAATTACCGCGAGGATACATTCCCTATGAATTAAGTCACTGAGACCTTGAGCTGGTTTCATCCTCCCCACTATCCATCTTATTTAAAAAGGAACAAGACTCACTTTCTGTATCTCCACTTTTCTCCCTGAAAAATGTGGCACAGTGCCAAGTTCTGTAAAATCCACAGTCTGCTGAGAGTCACAGAATCCTAGACTAGAAGGAACAATTACCTGCTAGTAGGGATCTGGAGAGGCAGAGACACACGTATTGTTGAATCCTAGTTGTATCACTCACAAGCTCTATGACAACAGGGTAACAACTTACCTCGGTGGGTCTCAGTTTTTCCATTCAGAAAATGGAGCAGTAATTGTTTCCACCTCCTAGAATTGCTGTGGTGATCACATTAGCACAGTGCTGGCACCCAGGATAACTGCTTGATAAACATGTACTAATAACTTTAGCTAGAGAAACACCATCTAGTTCATCCACTTCACCCCACTGGTTTGATCACACAAATCATCTGTGCATCTTTTTTGAAATCCTTCCCCAGAAGGAGATACTAGAGCTTCGTGTGTGAAGGGTTCCAATGCCTGACCAATCTCACAACCTGGAAATCTAACTGCTCCATTTAAAATATTATTTCATTTAAAATATTAACATTCTAAGAAAAATAAAAAATTAACATTCATTCTCCAAAAAAAGTAGAGAATGACTTGTTATGCTTTTTCTGGATAAATGAACAAACATCTCAACATTCTCTCTCCCAAGCTAATCTAATCTAATCCCAGGAATTTCATTTTTGTCTTACGAAGTCTGTTATCTACCACTTTCCACTGGTGATGACGAGGATGCCTTCCTGTCCTGAGATTGCTGTGGTGATAAGGCAGGTAGCTCGTCTTAATAATATTGTGTGTTGTGCTCTTTATTTTCAAAGCACATTCACATGGTTATCTTTTTTTTTTTTTTTTTTTTTTTTGGCAGTACGCGGGCCTCTCACTGCTGTGGCCTCTCCCGTTGCGGAGCACAGGCTCAGGACGCGCAGGCTCAGCGGCCATGACTCACGGGCCCAGCCGCTCCGCGGCATGTGGGATCTTCCCCGGACCAGGGCACGAACCTGTGTCCCCTGCATCGGCAGGCGGACTCTCAACCGCTGCGCCACCAGGGAAGCCCCACATGCTTATCTTGTTGATCGTAATACAACTGGGAGAGTTAGGGAGGGTGGGGGTTATCTCTACATTAAGGATGAGGAAACTGAAGTATAAAGGAAAGAACAACGATAGCCACCATGGCTAACCGCTTATATTCCAGGTCTTCTTTTGTTAATTTTTATTTTATATTGGAATATAGTTGATTAACAATGTTGTGTAAGTTTCAGGTGTACAGCAACGTTCCAGGTCTTTCACACATAATATCTTATTTAAACTTCTCAAGAGCCTTCTTTAGTAGGTGTTATTAGCTCAGTTTAGAGGAAAGGAAAATGAGGCTCATAAAGGGAGGTGACATAGCCGACTTTCTCCAGACACTGAACGGTAGAGCTGAGAAGCTCCAGATCTACCTCACTCCAAAGCCAGTACGCTCAGTCACTGACTTTTGAAAATGTGCTTAACCCATCAGTGACTAAAATGGCATTAAAATCCAGGATTCCTGATTCACAGTTTGGGACACCTTTCATCAAACCACTAATTCAGTTCTTCCTGACTGGGTACGTTGCTAGAGCTAGACCCACCTGTGACTAGAATAGCCACTGCTCACACAGAACTGCTTTGCAGCTGTTCCCCATTCCTAGCTAGGCTTCTGCTCTTATCTTCCAGGTCCATGCCTATGATTTGGGGGTTCTCAAGCATGCAGTCAGAGGGTTATAAATTTATATATATGGTTACATATCTATCTATCTATTATATATGTATACAATGTATATATATTTACATAATATATAAATATATATTTGTATTATATATTTATACATATTGTGCATAGATATTCATGTACATGGGTATATATACACACACACATGCACAGGCTTCCAGAATTTGCCAGATTCTCCAGCAAGAATAAAGATTTGCCAGGCCAAACAAACTTCCCAGGGATTTGCCAATAAGTGTAATTCTTTAAATACAGATTTGGATGTGTGTTCGTTCGCAATTTTGGGAATTTCCTCGGTGAAATCTGAAACTGGCCCCATACACAGAGGGCAAGGGGAGGTGAAGAAAGAGGCAGGCCACTCCAGATTGGTAGGTGAGCAGTTTAATAAGCAAGGGGAGTTACAAGGCTCGTCTTGAGTGGCCTTAAGACTAGTCGATCTCTGCACTCACCCACCAGAATCTTAAAGGTTTATATAGATGCCTTAACTGGGTTCGGGCATGCATTCAGTCCAGGTGGTCTCAAGGCTGCATCCTTGAAATGGCTTGGGCTATGGGAACTGGGTGGAACATACATTCCAAGGACAGGGGAGAGGGTAAGGAGCCGCTGATTGCCAGGGTCTAGCTTGCTGGTCAACCAATGGTCACATCCTCTTGATTACCTCTTCTAACAACATGGAAGAAGTGAAAGAAAAATGTTAATGGGAGTTTCTTCTCTTTCCCTGAGTGTCCCGTTCACATGGGCCTATAGACATAATCAAATCGAAGTTGTAAGGCCAGCACTGAACTGAGGGATGGATTCTAACCATGTTCAGCTTTTCCTGGGGCGTCAGTGCTTATGTTACTATTTGAGCTGCTCCACTCATTCATTTTCCATTTCTAAAGGAGATGAGGGTGAAAAAGGAGATCCAGGAGAGGAGGGAAAGCATGGCAAAGTGGGACGCATGGGGCCGAAAGGTAGGTAACATGGTATGACTTTGACACTTTGCTCTCTCTCTACTGGACTTGCCTTGGAAGTTAGCAGCTTTCATAACACCCTCCGCTCCAGAGATTCATGAGATGTGTTTCCTAGATGAATTTACTTGCCACCAGAGAGTTCCTGGGAGATTGCCTGTCGACAAGACTCGAACACATTTCTCAAGCTTCATCCTTAGGGCTGGTGGGAGAGGAACACCCTGGGAGCCCTGGAGAATTGCGGTCTCTGGGAATATCTAAGAAACCCTGAGCTTTAGAAACACAGCCATGTTCACCGCTGTGTCTCCCCTCAGATGCCGTGCTAAGCACCTCTGGCTGGCTGGCTTAGTGTGTGAGGGGGAAGAAAAGCAAGAGCAGAAACAACTGTCTGATCCATTGATTTACTCACTTTTCTCCAAGATCTCTTGGCAAATGGTGGGGTATATACGGGAAGAACAGGAGAAAAGAAAATGAGAATATAACACACAGGCTATTAGGGAATGGTTCTACTCACAAGCCAAGACTCAGCCTCACGAGAATACAGCTTCTGGATTGTGACGTGTCAGCGCGTGTCTTCCAAGCACGAGAACTATTCCTTGCCATCTGCTGCAAGGTGGTGGCCCTAGACCACTGATTTTAAAATCTTCAGTAAGTTAAAGAGAGAAAAAGACTCATAGGATTTTGAGACTTCAATTTGAGAAATGCTGATTTAAACTCTTCTTATTGTATAAATATGTACAATCAACTGCAAAATTATTCTCACAACTAGATAGCTTTACAACTGGTAAATATTTTTTAGATAATCATGGATTAAAAATGCAAATTAGTAACAATTTTGTAGGCACTCAGGAACCCCTGATTATATTTTTTTGGATGAAAACTTGGTGGGACAATCTCTGATGTCTCTTTAATCACTAGGTTTTATGATTGTATGTTCCCTCCCCTTTGAAAAAATGGCTAAGCTAGTCCAATTTGTTTTAAAGTAGCGAGGAAATAGAATCCCAGACTGAAGCCAAAATGGATCTCAGGAGGAACAGGATTAGAAAAAACTGCAAGAATTTTTTCACTCAGCTCCTTAACTGACCTTTAGATTAAACATCCTCTGCTGTAGTTCTTTAGAAATATTGCATTTTAATATCATCAGGCCCAGGACTGTCACACTCACCCACATTTTAATTTTAATACGTACATTATAATGCTATTAAAATAGTTAATATAGCACAGGATGTATATAATATAGCACAGAATGTTTATTATATACCACAGATAGAAGAATGCACTTTTCAGTATTTCCTTCAAGTGAATATCATATACTAGGCACATCATTAAAGGGAAGATAAAACCTTAGGATATAAAGATGACATGCTTTGCTTTTCAGGAATTAAAGGAGAACTGGGTGATGTAGGAGACCAAGGCAATATTGGCAAGACCGGGCCCATTGGCAAGAAGGGTAAGCTATATTTTACTATTCTCCAGTAGCAATTTAAAGCCAATTGAACCTACCCTCGATATATGTTGAAATGTTCTGTACCATGAAAAATGAGCCCTTTCCTTTCTTTTAAAACACGAGTTTTCTCTTCCCTGCTATCTTGGCAGTTTCTTCCCTACGTAAGCAACGTGTCTTTGAAAAAAGGCCTTGAGCAAACTTCAACTGAAATTCAGGGACAGATTCAAACATAAAGTTCAGTTAGTCTCTCCCCAGAACTCTCTCCTGGGATCTACTGGTTATAATCCTTTATGCAATTAAAACGGATGTCATGACCATGAAGCGCACTCAGTTGCAGAAAACAATTATTCATAAAACTCAATGTAGCTGAGGACAGTATAATATTCCTTTTTAATCTGAGTGGAATAATAATAAGTCTGTGTCTGAGATCTACTAACAGGATAGGAATTTGAGGTGCGTGTATATACACCCTTTTGTTTTCAGTCATATCCTGATCCTGCATGTTCCTGCTTCCATATTATAAAACACAGGTAGCCTCCCCTTTATTACCTAAGCACCCTATCCCATCGTCCTCTCCAAAAGCACCACAACGGTAGCAGGTTCTTTTTTTTAATAGATCTTTACTGGAGTATAATTGCTTCACAATACTGTGTTGGTTTCTGTTGTACACCAAAGTGAATCAGCCATATGCATACATATGTCCCCATATCCTCTTCCTCTTGAGCCTCCCTCCCACCCTCCCTTATTGCTTCTGATAGTCAGCAATTCATACAGACATCGTTCTGTGGGTTTGAAGTTTCAAAGCGATCTCCCTTTAACCTGGATACACAATTGATTTGAGCATAGGAGAACGGGCTCAAGTGCAGATGATTTGCATCACAGGGGCATTTTAAGCAGATACTTGCTGCGCTGGAGCTCACCACAGTAGTAGTGGGAGGTGGCTACGAAAGTATGACCTAAGCACAGTATTTACTCCAGTTAATTGTGTGCAGTTATGATCTAATGCTACATCTTTACATTTGCTTACATTTCTCGCAACTGGGAATGGCACCATGTATGGTCTGTAGTCACGTCTGTAAGTTTTGATGAACTTTAACGTTTTATAATCAGTTTGTGTATATTTTATGGTGTAAATGATAGAATAGACTAGTATCTATATATATTTTATACATTCATGACATACCTAAATTTTTCTTAATTTTTTTCAGTATTTCTAGGCTACGTGGTTTATCTGTGAGTTTTTTCAAATTGTTGAAAATCTCCCAAAACTTCCCCAATGTATTTATTTTAAAACTTTGCACATAAGTGAACGTGCACATTTCAAACCCGTGTTGTTCAAGGGTCAACTGTATAACGCTGAATGACCACAGGACTACAATAGGAGCCATGTCAGGGAGTAAAGCCAGATTGGTATGAAAAAGAACCGACCGGGCTTCCCTGGTGGCGCAGTGGTTGAGAGTCCGCCTGCCGATGCAGGGGACACGGGTTCGCGCCCTGGTCCGGGAAGATCACACATGCCGCGGAGCGGCTGGGCCCGTGAGCCATGGCCGCTGAGCCGGCGCGTCCGGAGCCTGTGCTCCGCAACGGGAGAGGTCACAGCAGTGAGAGGCCCGCGTACTGCCAAAAAAAAAAAAAGAGAGAGAAAAAGAACTGACCGAGATCTTGAAGAATAGTAACATGTTTATGGAAACGGGGATAAAGCATTTGAGGAAGATGCAAGAGATACTTGTGCAAAGGTGCAGAGTGGGGAAACTCAGTGCTATGGGTAATAGAATTCTGCAGCCTTAATGTCCCCTCCAGCCTTCCATATGTGCGTTAGCAGCTGCATAATTAAGCCAGCAGTGGCCAGCAGTGTGTTCTCCTGGGCAGGTTGATGGATGGCAGGCTGAGCTGAGGCTGTGGCCCCTCTCCTCTCATTCTGTGGCTTGGAACACCCTCCAGCTCATTCCTTTGAGAAACTTCCTTCGACCTGCATTTGAGGGCAGAAATAGAAGGCAGTACCACTGAAAAGAAGTTATTATGGTTCCTTTGGATCCAGTGGCTTATATCCACCGTATAGTGTATATTCACTCGAAGTTGAAGACCTCGTAGCTGAAGAAGAGCTACATGGACCCCTCGTAGTTCATGGTCCTGCTGTAGGATGTACCTGTGGTGGTTTTACCGTGAAGCTGATGAAGTTTTGGCTGCAGAGCCCCGCACTTGTTTGGGTTTTTCCCAAGCCGCCAAGAGGAGCCTCAGCGATGGGTTCACGTGGCCACAAGTCTTGGTGAAATTTGTAAAGTAACCTTAACTCATCAAAATGGTGCCTCTCAACATTTTAAAAAACCAATGCCTTGGGCTTCCCTGGTGGCGCAGTGGTTGAGAGTCCGCCTGCCGATGCAGGGGACACGGGTTCGTGCCCCGGTCCGGGAGGATCCCACATGCCGCGGAGCGGCTGGGCCCGTGAGCCATGGCCGCTGAGCCTGCGTGTCCGGAGCCTGTGCTCTGCAACGGGAGAGGCCACAATGATGAGAGGCCAGCGTACCGCAAAAAAAAAAAAAAAAAAAAAAAAAAAAAAAAAACCAATGCCTTGCCAGCAAGCCTTTTGAGACATATTGCCCCCTTAATGAGATGTTTAGACATATTTTTCCTTCTTGCCCACCCCTCCGTGAAATTTTAACACCATCCATGGACTATATATTATGTAGTTTGTGTGTATTTATACTTTATATATTAAAAAGGAGTAAGATTTTTTCACCCCCCCACTGCACTGACTTTTGCATCCATGAGGTGGTACTGTCCCCACTGGAATGCATGGATTAAGGGTACTGTCTCCTTTTGCTGTTTCCCAAACATGCCAAGGTGCCTTCTTCTGCCCTCTGCCTTTGCTCAGACAGTTTCCTACCCCTACACACCTCTTCGTCCATCACTGTGTGTCAAAATACCACTTATTCTTCAAGACCATGAAGACTAGGCTTCTTTATAAAGCTTTTCCTGAACCCTTCCTTTGTGCTCTCAACCTGAGTTTGAACATCTATTAAGGTGTGAACATCTTCCATCATGGATTACTTGGGCTGCCATACAGCAGAATATTTAAGCTCTTGAGGTTTGAAATCGGAATGATTGGGTTTCAATCCTGACTCAGTGTCTTTCTTGCCATGTGACCTTGTATACATTTCTTAACCTATCTGTGCTTCAGTTCCCTCATGAACAAAATAAAGACAATAACAGCCTTAAAAAAAAAAAAAGAGAGAGAGAAAGAGAGAGCACTGTCTCCTGCGCCAACTTCCCTCCAACATACTTCTCCTTGTATAAGTTTTTGGAGTGGATACAAGTATTTTGGGAGCTAGCTAAGAAGAACTTGAGTGGGGGAAATATTTTGTTTGGACTTAATGAGATATATCTGTGTAGTTTGCAGTTATTTCCATGTACAGTTAAGTTCTTGCTAACAGTTCCAAAGTAGGAATAACTTCCAAGAATACTCCTACCACCGACTGTGCAGATCTATCCAAAGTCATAATGAAAAAGTGCAGGGGTAGAAGTCAGATCATCATAAGAATGTGTCCGGGGCACCCAGCCCAAGAAATGTGTCGATTGTGCAAAAGAAACAAGCCTTGAAATGTACCAGGCCAGAGTTAATCTGTGGAAACATTTTTCAAATCTAACAGCTCAGATATGAACAAGACTTTACAGAGGTATTCTCAAAGTTGACAATACTCTTAATTTACATAACCATCAATAACAAGTTGTGAAGGTGAAAGTAACTTCTTACATTATTAATAATAAAAATTAAATTCAGATTTCTGCTATGGGCCATGAGAGAGTCACCTGCATTAATCCTTCTGCTAAGCATGACTAGTTGAGTCAAAAAATAAATAAAACCATATCTGAAGGCATGAGAGGGCAACCAAACTGAAAAAGACTTTAGGGGAGCCACGCTAAGGTGAGCTCTACATCCTGTGCTAATTTTCCACATTTACCAATTCATACTTGAGGCAGCATTAAGAGACCAAGAGGCTTGAGCAGACAGCTGCTCAAACTGAATTGGGAATTCAGGGCCTGCCAGAGATGAGCAGCCCAGGAAATGCCACTCTTTTTCTCATTTCAAAAACAAACATTTCCAGTTAGAATTCCAGGAATTCTGAAAAAACATTTCATTAAACATGGGCCCATTCGTGTTAAAAAAAAATGTAACGAACTAGAAATAGAGGGAAACATTTAATATGAAAAGAATGTCAACAACAGAAACCTATTTAAAAATCATAGTTGGTAGCGAAATATTGAACACTTCTCTCCTGATATTGGAAATGAGATGAGCATAGCCTTCACCACCAAGTCTAATCAGCAATTATACTCGAATAAAGACGTTAGAAAAGAAAAAAACATTATATTATAGAAGAGGTGCCAGCCAGAGCAAAAATGCAAGAACAAGAGATAAAAATCATAATAACTGGAAATGAAGAAGAGGGTGGTTATTTCCTGACGGCATGATAACATACCCAGAAAATACAAAAGAATCTACAGATTAGCTATTTGTATTAAGTTTTTTAGACAGCTTAACTTCTAAAAATCAATTTTGTTTCTAAATACTAGAAGCAATTTTAAAAACTGAAATTAAAAAGATTCCATTTATTGTAGCATCAAAATGGTCAAATATCTAGGAATAAATCCAACAAAAGGTGCATAAGCTCTCTGCGACAAACACCACATGTTGATAATGAGAGAAATTAAAGAATATCTAAGGAGATGGAGGTAAAGCTACATTCATAGATTGGTTGACTCAGTATTGTTAAGATGATCAATATTAATAAGATGATCCTCAAATTGATCAATAGATTCAGTGCTATTTCAGTTAACATCCCAGAAGTAGTTCTCTTGGAATAAGATAAGCCAATTCAAAATTTATAGGGAAATGAAAAGGACCATGAATTCCCAAAGACCATCTTGAAAAATAAAAACAAAAGTGAAAGATTTAAATTACTGCATTTAAATATTTATTATAAAGTTAAACAATTAAGATAGTA